GCTTGGGACAAGCATCAATCCTTAATTGAAGTTTCACAAATCCCAGACCTGGCTTTAATTGCTCTCCAAGTAGTTTAAAATAACCTAGTCCAGGTTTGATGTGTCTGGGTTAGACCTCTTCAAAAAAAAAAAAAAAACATTTTTGATTTTCATAGAAGACTGGATGATTTCCCATTCTTTCTAACCTGACAATCATTTTGTTCTCAGACCACGTTTATGCCGGCCCCAAAGGCCCTCAACTTATAACCGTCTAGATAACAAAAAAACCTCCCATTTTTAGGGGGGAGGGTAGAGAATTTTGATATAACTTCTAAAAACAATTAGACTTACAAAGTTGGCAATAATACAAATTACAAGCTAATAAAATTATCTACTAATCCATGTAAACACATTTACAATTTGTTTTATTTGCATATATTTTTACATTACATATAAAAAATATATATAATTAAAACAGAAAATTGCATTTTTCTTGCTTAGAAATTATTAATTTAAATATTAATAATGTACAATTTTACTCTGAATAAAATTAAGTTATTTTTTCAAAGATATTGGTATTTTCTTGAATCCCCTTGTATCCATTAAATGATGTAAATCGCAAATTTTGGGGGTAGCGTACAAATTTTCATTCTAAATTTTGATGCAATAGCCATTCAAAGATGTCATTAACACCAGAAGATGGCTAATAATCATAATTTCCTATTTGTTTCTGTAAAAAGAAATATACTTTGTATAATTCAAACATATTTACATATTTGTTTTCGTTTTTTAATTAGAGTAGATTAAAGGTGAAGGAGGGAAAACTTTATTCATTTTACGATTCGGAAGCTAACTTCAGCTTCATCGGGTCAACCTCCCCAAGATGGCGCCCGTCATTTCATCTGACATTCACTGCGGGGGTAGCGGTGTGTGTGTGTGTGTGTGTGTGTGTGTGTGTGTGTGTGTGTGTGTTGGAAACGCTGAGCACACCTGTCAATCATCTCCGTTTTAAAATGAGACACCAAGTCAAACCAGATACAAACTTCAGGGTGAATGTTTCTCACCTTCACTATCGATATTTTCACCATTTCTTCGCAGCCTCGTGCATCACCGTCCGCAAATGACAAGAAACTGAGAAAAAGTAGAAACAGACATTCAGTGCTGCTGAGTTTTAGAGTAAAACCTTCCCAGTGTTCCCGCTTCTTCCTGCTAGCTAAGCTAGCGGATGTTAGCCTTAGCCTCAGTCAGTAATAACTTTAACCGACCAAATAAAGCTAAAACTAAAACCAATCCTTTATGCAGATTCTCAGTTGTTCGTCTAAAGGCTGAATGTTTATTAGAAGTTCATACCTTGTTTCTTAGGTTTTCCCTGTTATAGACTCAGACTAGCGCTGCAGCTCCTCTCTCTCCACCGGTGTTGAGCCAAAAATTGCTCCCTGTTGCGAGAGCGCGCTGCGCCCCAAACTCGCGCACGTTGATGAGAAATTTAAAGGAAACTTTTAAACATTTTCTTAATGTTTTCACATTTCCTATACATGGATGCCTTAAACTGAGACTTTTGGTGGACAGATAAATTGGAATGAATAAGATTTTTATTGTATTTATTGTGTTTCTTGTATTTCAATTCAATTCAGTTTATTTCTGTAGCTCCAATTCACATCATGTCATCTAAGGTCATTTTCCGGTTCACCAGATCATCCAGTCAGATTGATTCAAAGTTTTCTTTCTAAGGAAAACC